GACAGAAAAAAACAGCAGAGAAGGAGGAGGAAGAGAACTCTTACCACCCCACCACTCCCCACTAAAAATGTAAAGATAGACAGCAACCTCACATGAACTTTGGGTTTGAATTTACACTTCCCAAAGAACATCCAAGCTGAACGTTGTTTTCTTGTGTTCCCCAGATGGCAGCACTCCAGGGCTGGTGGATATGGACACAGATCTCTCCAAGGGACTGCCCCTTGACCTGGGTCTCTCAGGATTCCCACAGACTCCAGTGGGCCAAACATGTGCTCACAATACAAATGAGCCAACACGCGAGGAAACAACCCATCATGAGCAAGCGTCAGCAGAAACAGCGAATGCCAGGCATAGACCACCAGCAACGGCCCACAGTGGAGGCATCAGGAACAGAAGAAAAAGCTAGACATTGTAACCGTTGACAAAAATCAAAGGGGAAATTAAAAACATGAGCAGGGAACATAAAGCTATCTAAAATGGCCTAACTGATTTGACAACCTCATACAACCTCTCAAAATGAAAAATATGAGTATTAAACATGAAAAAGTGGGAAATGCTTTCAACATTAGATTAGGCACATCTGCAAAGGAATTAGAAAACAACTTCGAGAGAATTACTCAAAGCGCAGCTCAGAGAGATTAAGGGGTAGAAAATTAGCTAGAATTCCTCTCACTCTCCTCTTTGGCGAGAGCCATGAGCCGGATCATGTAAGACAGGCAAGTGTGGACAGTGAAACTGATGCCAACCTGGAGGAGGTGGGTACTGCTCCCTCTACCCCCAGAATGCCTCTCTCCCTGCCGAGCCCCGAGTCATCTTTGAGGGGGAACTGGGCATAACTGGGGTGCAACATTGGCCTCTGTGATCTGAGCCTCATGCTTCCCTTTTAAAAGCCTCGGCACATCTATCATCTGGGACTGTATCTAAACCTAAGCCTTTTGGGAAGAGATTCTGTTGCTAGCCTATTCCCTAGGGACAAATCACTTCCCCATCTTTTATCCGCACAATGACCAGGTCTCTAAAATCCCAGCCGACCCTAATAATCTATTACTTTATGACATTCTGAGGTGACGACCCCACACATGCCCTATGAGCTCAAGCTCTTTACTCAGGGGGAGTCTGAGATCAGGTCATGCTTAGAAAGAGCTCCGCCAGTTCTGCCCACCTGTAACACCAACACAGGGCCCGACATTCGGCCCTCTGAGAATAATTTCTTTGGAGGTAAACATTGTATTTCCTAGCTACCAATACTTTTTTTCTCAGATAGCCTAGCTCAGGACAATAAAGTCAACATCGGCCCTAACACCTCAGTATGAGTTATTTTAACAGATTCTTTTCAATAAGACCATAGCATCCGAGATGGATTTGATGGTGGGAGAAAGTGGAGACATGGTAGGTCAGTCACAACCCAGGGAGGCTGAGAGGTTGAGGGTCCCCATCCTGTCCTGTCCCATGTATAGCAGAAGCAAAGCTGGCAAAGGTTCCACAGCCTTCCTGCAGCTTGACCTGACATCAGAGAAGGTCCCTACTTCTTCACTCCGAACAACTCAAAACGGTCTGGCCAGCAGGTGGCAGTGCACAGTCGGTTATGACTGTCTCCGCCAGATCACAACCCTGAGTTCAGAGGCTTCTCAGAGAGGCCTCAGAGCCCGGTGTGGAGTAGGAGGCACAGGCACAGGGAGGATCCAGCCTCTGCCACTCCGAGCCTCAACTCTCATGGGTGGGCCTGTGCTGGGTCTGTAGGACCGGGCACATTAGGGTTTGTCCTGCCTGACCAGGGAGTGGTGATTGCATTTGTGATGAAATGAGACTTCAGAAGCAGAAATGCGTTGTAACCTCCTCGGGCTGCATCTGCTGCTGATGGAGATGGAGTGTGCGGCGGAGGGCAGACCACTTCACATCTCGGAGAACTTAGAGGACTGTGCCCCCGGCCTCTCTGGGTGGGTGGGGTGTGTGCCCACAGTGCAAAAGGGCACAATGGCAAGCCACTCTTGGATTTTCTATTACGCTGCCTATTTGTGGGGTAGTGACGTCTGCACCCAAATTCTGTGACTCAGGCCCACTCCCAGGCAGCTGTAGGCAATCACGCTGCAGCCGGGGCTTCTGCACCCGTGGTCCCCAAGGTTAACTCAGCGTGCCCATTACACACAGCGTTCTGTGAGTCATTTGAATGTTTTCCTTGCTGCAGAGCCAACTTCCACTTCCAAGAAGTGTCTGAATGTAAGAAAGTGACTATGTTCAAACAGGCTTTCCTCGGGAGCAGGGTATGTCAGGAAGGCTGGCCGTCCAGCCCTGTTGTTATGGGGCGGCCTCTGGAGAAGGGCGTGGCCAAGGGACAGGCTGTGGAGGGGCTGGGGACAGGGAGCCAGTAGGCTGTGGCCAGGGGTGGCAGGCTTGTTCCCCCACCTCTCCTCAGAAGGTCTGCCCTTTCCCCTGGTGTGTCTGGTGTTTGGGACACTGCTCGTCATCAGTCAGAATAGCAGTGGGAGGACTCCAGCTTTGAAGTCAGGGTGATGAGGGTTCGAAGTCGGTGATGTCTCCACCAGCCGAACAATATCAGCCAAGTGACTGAAACTCTCCCAACCTTGGTTTCCTCATTTACAGTTTGGTTTTGTTTTGTTTTAAGAACGATTTTTGTTGGATGGCACATGCGCTCACCCATGTCAGAGAAAGAGAAAGTAAGAAATCACCCCCGGGGGGGATGGCCATGCCACAATCCCTTCCCTCCTATTTTCCTCTCAGGATTTTTGGCATGCGCGCACACTTGCCCAGTGTGAGTTTCAAGCTGCCGGGTCCAGGACTCAAAGCGTACTTGTCCATGTGGGAGTTCAATGACATAACCATTACGCCATTCTCTGATCCCCTTCATTTATAGTTTAAACAAATTTTTAAAAAATAAATTAGTACTTTAATTTTATTTTCCCATGATTGTTTTTTGTTTATTTAGTTCTTCAGAGAGAGAGAGAGCCCCCCCAGGTGTTGTTGCCATGACCCTCCCAGGATCGGCTGGCCCAGATGTGCTCACAGAGGTCCTGGGCTGAGACCCAGGACCTCTCCCATGTGGATCCAATTGCATTGCCTGCACTGCCCTCCCCTCCTGACACTGCCGGCCACTCCTCTGTCTGTCTGTCTCTCCTGATCTCTCGGCCTCTGTCCATCCTGATCTGCATTTGTAGTTTGGTGTAAAAACATACAAGTCCTTCTGTTTCCTCTTCTGAGAAGCATCGGAAACTTAGACCTGCCTTCAGTGAAAGGGCTTCTGATCTCAGAGGGAGATTAATGCGGTAGCCAGGACCACTGAGATGAGGAGACTCCCGCTCTCCAGGTAAGACGGAGAGCACCCCTGGGAAACCTCTGTGTGGCTCCTGGCGCCCTCTGCGGCCCCGTGAAGAAACGACGTTGCAGGAGGGCAGTTCAGGGTCAAGGGAAAGAATTCCTAAGGCTTGACAACTGCGACCTTGCCACCTCTCCTACCTCACAACAAAGGCCTGAAATAGCCAACTAGGATAAGAAATAGGGATGGAGACTCCACCAACATCTAGCCCCCCAGGCAGGGGTCCTGCCCCTTCCCTACATGGGCCCCTTGGTTGCCCCTGGCTTCTCTCCAGCCTCTCCCACGGCATTAACCTGGTTTCCAGAAACACACATACCTGGCATGGGGCATGAAACACTGGGCGGGCAGGGCCCCTACCCTCCCTCCAGTCTCCATGCCCCATAGTCACCCAGTTTGGCCCCTAGGTGGAATCGGGTGCGGGTGTGGGGGGGCTGGCTCAGAGGGAAGTGATTTGAAAATCAGATCAGTGGGGCCGGAACATTCCGTTCCTGAGCTAAGCAGTTCCAACCGGGTATGTAAATGAGCCGTCTGAGACTCACAGGCCCTGGAGGGTTGGTCGGGGACCCTTAGCAGGGACACCGATCTAATGTTTCCCAGGTGTCAAGACAGAAGTGTTGATGGCTAGGCCTCTTCTGCTCAACCGGAAGGGGCTAAGCGTGTATTGAGTGCTGACTGCCCTCCCCTGGGTATTCTGTCGCTCTTGCTGACCAGCTTGTGACAACGGCATTTACAGTTCCATCTTGCAGATGGGTAAATGAGGCTCAGAAAGGTTAAGTGAGCACCCCAAGGCTACACCAGCTGGGTGGTGGCAGGGTATGTGACTCTGGAGGAGAAGCATCCTTCTGCTGGACACACTGCCCACACCCGCCCCTCTGTCTCTCTGCATCTTTCCATCGTAAGCCTGCACTGCCCTCCCCTCCCAACATCTTCACCCGCCCCTGTCTCTCTGCATCTTTCCGTCGTAAGCCTGCACTGCCCTCCCCTCCCAACACGGCTGGCCACGCCTGTCTCTCCCTCTCTCTGCCTGTCCATCCTGATCTCCCTTGCTCTCGTTCTCACCCCATGCCCCAGTTCACACACAGCAAGCCTCCCTGACAGACAGGCATGGCTGAGATCCTTTCAAGCTCTAAATTTATACGAATTCCTCTGCGCCCTCCCAGCTCTGCCCAGCTAATCGGGTGATCTTGGGAAAGTGTTCTTGCTGGCCCTGAGACCTCTATTCCTCCCCCGTGAGCAGGGAAGTGTTACCCACTTCGCAGGGTGGGCAACAGGCCTGATGCACCCAGTCCCTGAGGGTACACGGCAGGAGCTCGGCAAACATGGGTCCCACCCTGAGCCTGAGGAGGTGGTGGCGAAGCAGGACGAGGCGCTGCAGTCATGGGGCGGGGCGGCTTCTGCAGTTGAGGACCTCGCACCCCTCACCCATCTCTGGCTGCCACGTCTGTCTGTGCATCCGTCTGATGCTGTGTGGTATGAAGTTGATACCATCTGCAGGAACCTCACATGGGCAGCCTATTCCCATAGAGGTGACCCCCTCAGAGGGCCCCAGGGGCAACAGGACCACGGTTGGGCTTTCTCTGGCACTAGCAGCTCGCTAGGGAAGTGAGGCCTTGAAAACTGCTTCGGGAGTCCCAGGGCAAACTGGGAAGAAGCGCAGGTGTTCCAGCGAGTTTACGGCTCGGACTTCCTCTGGCTGTGGGTTGGCATTTCATGTCACAGGTGGGGCCCTGCGCATGCTCCCTCCCAGGCCTTGACCAGCCCGAAGGAAATAATCAAGGGTTGGTATCTGGGAACAGTTGTTTACTGCGTCTTCATTCTTTACCCGTATGCACAAGGGGAAGCACCTGTCACGGGAGCTGGGAGAGCTGATGCCAGTAACTGCATTCGGAACACTCTAGGCAGAGGTCAGTCAAGACTTCAGGGTCCCGTTCTCCAGGTACCCCAGGCCGGGGAAGACCTTGAGGTGAGGTGCAGCCGGGTGCCATGTGGGGCCTCTGTCTGGGAACACCTGATTGGCTTCATCGTGTGCTGCCTCCTCCTAGAAAGCAGAAGAGCCGAACACCAAGAATGCGCCCAGCGACTAGAGCACGAACAGCCTGCTCACCTGGGCCCCGTGTATCCAGGACTTCCGGATTCATTCCGATTCTGGCGATGCAGAGCAGAGGGGCTGGGGCCTCCCTCAGGCCATCTTGTGGACTCTGGTCACCTGTGGGAGGGAGTGAGCAAAGGGGAGTCAGCTCTAGGAACCAGCAGAGGTCAGGATGAGTGTGTGTGTGTGTGTGTGTGTGTGTGTGTGTGTCGGGGTGCTGTTGCTCTGCCCTACCAGTCACCACAGCTGCCCACCCCACAGCCTGCAATCCGGGGACTATCTACCCACAGAAGCCTTGTCCTGGAAGGGCAGCCATTACAATAAATTTGAGAATCCTTCCTTGCCTGGGTAAGGGGCATGAGAGGCAGATGGAAAGAAAGGCTGGTAAGAATCATTCAGGAGCTGGGGCCAGCAGGTGGCATGGTGGTTCAGGGTACTGGACTCCCGCATAGCTGACTGTGGTTCAAGTCCCAGACCTGGTGGTTTGCTTTCTCATTTTCCCTCTCTCTCTCTCTTGCTCTGTCCCTCTCTGGTCAAAGTAAATAAAGTTAAATAAAAAATTATTTTTTTGAAAAAGAATCATTCAGGGGCTGTACCCAATACATCAGCAATCCCAGTACCGGACTTTCTGTGAAAACACACAGGCTGCATGCTCTAGGAACGCCAAGCAAGGCGACCTCAGCAGAGGATGGAGTCTGTGCCTAGAAGGGGCCGAGAATCTGTGGGTGGGCCTGGCTCCCTCAGGAGCCTGTTGCTGGGTCTCCGGCCGGCCGTGTGTAAGAGGCAGGGCTGGAATTACAGAGTGAGTTCTTGGCTCACAGAATGGCCAGGAACTCGGAGGCCATGAGTAGCCACATCTCGATCATTCTTGGAGACCCAAGCATGACAGAGTTTTAGATTTTTAGTGAAAGAAACAAGCCCACATACAAGGAGCATTAGCCAAGATGCAGTCTGAATAGCTAGACCATCTTCAAATCCCTCACCTGGCTGTTGATCCGTGTCAGAGACTCTTTACCTGGTTGTGTTGACAACTGTCTTAATCTGTTATTTGTGTTGCTAACAAAGACACCTGAGACTGAGTGTTTTATAAAGAAATAGGGTTATGGGCTGGCCCTGTGGCCTTACGGTTAATGGTGCTGGATCCCAAATGGCTGACTGTGCAAGTCAAATCCCAGCCTCAGTGTCCCAGAAAAAAATATGTTGCCTATGTGTGCCCCAAACCCTGACAGGTGGAGAAATGGAGGCAATAGGATTTGGCCATGCCCCATTGGAGGGTGCTTTCTCTCTCTCTCTCTCCCTCTCGTGAACATATATGACCTCTGGCAATAAAAGAAAAGAAAGAATGAAATACAGACTATTAACTCAGTTGTGGCAGCTAGAAAGTCTGAAGGTGCAGGCTG